CATTTGTATTATACTTTATATGTAAACCTATATACTATATTATTCATTAGTATAAATGAGATTAATAAAGTGGCTTAAACACAAATGTTTAAAGTACCTTTTTACTATTAATACATTGTTACATAATTGTGACCTTAACATAAATTACAGTTTTGCTAAGTATTAAAAAAAATATTCTAGTACAGAAAAAGAAAAATAGTGTTATTATTTTATATATGACTGTATATATTATAGTATATATGTATATAATCCCATTTATCAGAAACGTTTGATCTATATTCTTTTAATATTTATACAAACACTACAAAAATAAATTGACCTTTCTATTTACATGAATTTTGTTTGATTTTTAAACATAAATAAAATATATTAAAAAATGTTATTTCGTAACCATTGAATAACAATTTTATTCTGAAACTATTTATTATAATTATAATACCATATATATTTATGTATGCATAAATACTATGTTATTTTTATAACATACTTTTTTTTTGTTTGATGTGTGAAAATGGTATGGTAACCCCGCCTGCGCTAGCGGGATACACTGGCGGGGCACCAGTGAAAGGTGATAGATGAGAATGAAAACAGGCCAGTTAGCCCATCATAATGAATCCACCAGGAATTAACCATGATAGTTTCCAGGGGGAACCGCGAGGAGGTCGACCTGGTTGGATATATTGCTAGCAATGGGATTCTTAGTCTCCATTACTAACAATCCCTTTCCCCCCTGTATAATATACTTGTGCACGACGTCTGTTACAGGCAGCTTGATCAAACATTTTTTATACATAAATAAATCTTTTAATATTATTTTTTATTAGCGCGTTTTATGTTCATAAGCTTCTTACTTTTATTATTGTTAGCTTATAACGTAAAAACGGCTGTACTGATTTCGTTAGAATTTCCTTTATAGGTGCATTATTACGTTTTTAAGTTTTATATTTACACATTTACTCCACTTACTGAGTATATATTTAGTTATATATCTTATTTTTTCCTATTCACGTACACAATAATATAAAAGTTGGCCATATTTTAGCAAAATCGTTGTAAAATATTGTACATAATTTACATTGGATACATAAAAAAGATTTCATATTCAATAGCCGTTTTATCCCATACAAGCATACAGTCAACCTTTGAGAAGCTGAAAGAAAACTATAGAATGTTCGAGAATAAAAATGTGTCAGCTAAAAATAAAACTTAATACCTAGTTAAAATTATACATATTTTTCAATAATAAGTAAATAAATATATTAAACCGTACCAGTATAAATATAAATGTACCTATTTATATGTAGATCTTGTATTAATCTCTCTAATTGTAATTCTATCTAATTGAAGTCATTTCAATTCGAAACATTATATTATTAATAGAAATCATGCATGAAATGGAATACTTATCTGAATTGCATATACCTGTATGTACATACATGTAGAAAATTTATAGATTAGGACAGAAAAAAACAGACAACCAAAATAGAGTAAGGTGAAATACGTGGGAGTATGTAATAGATCGTTTTAGATTTATTTAGGACGTATCTTTGTTTGGCCAAACACCCTTCCAACTCAATGACGTAAATGGTACAAATAATCGATTGTTTATTGCAGGGTAATTATTTACGATAATAACAGAATATCCAGTTTACTAATAGTGGGGTTATGGATTGTATTGCATTCATGGACAAATATAGTATATTACTATATTAGGCTTCACATTTTATTAGTATAATTAATGGAAAAGTTTGTAACGATGGATATCCTTTACCAATATACATTTATTGTTTCACGTAAAAACTAACGAATAGGTAGAATGAAATTTGGTGCACGGGTAAATTACATCCTAACTTAATACATAGGATACTTTATGTACTCACTCATACAGGTGATAAATAAAGTAAGTTATCAAGACACAACTAGTATGTCTCTAGATAATCAAATAAATTTTTTGATCAAAAAATTTTTCCGGCATCAGTTTCATTGTTCGGAGGACACGTGAAACCCTTCGTAATACATGAATGGCGTATACAAGCAATTATTACAATAATATTAATAGTAATGTGGGTAGTTCTAAAAACTAGCGATAACACTGGATCGGCGCGTTTAGTTTCCTCTATAAGTCGAGGTACAAAATTGTAATAAAAATATGTTATTCAGCAGTGAAATTGATAAAAATACATTGTTTTAATAACATATTTATTAGATTTATTTAGAAGCAAAACGTTGTGTAGTGAGCTTTTAAAACGAGTCTGGGCTCGAGCTTTCGCAATATGGCTTGAGGCTGAAGCTCGAGCCTTCATAGGAGACTCGAGCCTTCATAAGAGACTCGAGCCTTCAATGAGTCGAAGACTCGGGAAACTCGAGCCTTTTAACAATTCTACTTCGTATACAGCTAAAACAGTCGAGAAATTATTACGACTAAAAAGCTACACCTTCACACGAGTAATAATAATAGTTTCATTATTCGAAAATTTTCTCGTTACTCAATTTTTATTCCTTAGGCATTCGGCGGCAATTTCTTTTTATTCATTAACCGGCCCTTGAATATTTTTAACTCTACTGATTTTCGCGTGGGCACTTTGACAAAAAAGTAAAGGACTCATTTCGTTTATTCTAAAAAGACTGTATAAATGTCATTTTGAAATGTCATTAGGTGTAAAAAAAGCATATTGGAATTTATAACCTATTTTAAAGTTTACAAATCATTCACATTTGTTTTTTTACGCAGCTTTGAATGGCAAACAAGCTGACGGCCCACCTGGTGGAAAGTGATAACCGTTGCTTATAGACGTGAATAGTATTTTGAATATAACAGAGTAATGTAATAACAATTTAGTCATCTATTAGAAAAATATTTTTCATGTATCACAGTATCCTGAAAAGTGCCTGGAAAGAAATTAAGAAAAGAATTCTGTAACAATAGGCTTTTTTATCTACTCCCAACGCATTTATTTATTTTATTTATCTATTTCGTTACTTTTTTATTTTTTTTATTTATCTGTCAATTGGGTCTTTGGGTGCTTTAGTGAATGAATGAATGAGTATACTTTATTTGCATTATACAATATAGGAAATAAGCAAGACAATTAACAAATGTAACGATACAGTTGTATAAGTAGAGTAAGGCGGTCTTATTGTTGAAAGCAATCTTCTCAAGATATTATTATTATAATTATTATGGATAAAATCGCCGAATTGACTGGTACCCATTCAGGAATCAAGACAGCTTTCAGGTATGGGCAAAAAGGGTTAAATACATAAATACTTTATAATATGGTCAAGTTAAATTTATGGTGAATATAGGGAAATGTAAAACTTTCTATTTGAATACATAGACAGTAAAGTTTAATATTTCCTGAAATTTCGACAAGATAGATAGATAGATAGATAGATAATTTATTTGCATTACTTACAGCATACAAATTATAACATATATTGATATACATAAAAAGCGATATAACATAAATGATAAAAAAAAATACATAAAGCTAAATACAATTTATCGTTTGTGCGTGTGCCATAACAATACAAAATGGTCACAACTCAGTTTATTGCTTCGCCCTCAAAAGAGCAAAGCACTGATATTCTGTTACGGCCAAAGGGAATAGGGTAACAATAAAACAATACCACCAGATTATGCATACAGTAATTAGACAGATATACAGTAAACAGACAGATATGACAAACAAGAACGAGTCTACACAAATGAAGTCGTATAAAAACGATAGTAATCCAAGCCTGAACTTGATATTCAAAACGATATTCACTATGTTCATGTCTAAATTAAAAAGTTGATGTACCTCGCCATTACATTATATTTTATTTATTATTTAAAATAATTTCATCACAATTTCCATCATTTACTTATATTGTCAATATCTTTATTAATTTATTGACATTTAATAATTTAATTCCATTTTAATATTTATCAAACACAAAGCATGCTGTGGTTGCCTCTAAATGTAAGAACAGTTAGATCTAATCCACTTTTGTATTGTATTGAAATTTTTAGCTATATCTTATGTTGGTGATCCTATAAATAAATAAATAAATAAAAGATTCATAAGAAATACATAGCCGATTTTCCATGGTACCTAGGTACCTATTTATTATAGATACTCTATAGTTATATACATAAGGCACATTTTGTTGGATAAAAATAGAATAGTAACACCGCCTGCGCCATCAGTATATGTTAGTGGGGCATCAGAAAATGATGATAGATGAGAATAAAAACAGGTTGGTTAGCCCGTCGTGACAAATCCCACAAGAATTAACCAGAATGGTTTCCAAGAGTAACCACGTGAAAGTCGACCTGATAGTGTATGTTGCTAGCATTGGGACTGGTTATCCCTATTACTAACTATCGCTTTCTCATCTATCATCCCTTATTGGTGCTCCGCCAGCGTAGTAACGCAGGGTTGCCATTTCATTATCACTTATTAAAAAAAAAATGAGGCGCCCATAAACGCCTTTTTAGGAGGTGTTATCGAAAATACTATGATATACTAAAATCACGATTTTCGTATTGCAGTGGAAAGAAAAAGTTGCGTAAATAAGGTACTTGGTTTGATTCCCGGTTTGGTCACTTTTAGAAATAAACTTTTTATTATTTGTCTCCGACGTGAGTATTCTGTTGGTCCCTCAGTTAATAATCAAATGAAATACCTATTTTTAAAAAGTAGACACTCGATTATCGTAGTAGGCATTAGTCAAATTAATAAAAGAAACAGAATTAAAAACTTTATTTTGTTCAGTAGCTATTGAATTACCAGTTTTGATGGATTAAAATGAAATAAAGGTACTTAAGTAATAAATAATTCGATAAGCTCAGTTGTATTCTTAAATTATTCCTTTCAACTCTATTTTTTTTTTCTACAAAAATAAAATAACATAACGCAATGCAGATTTTATGTAACAAAAGGGAGCATTCTTGGATCTGATCCAAATCGCAAGGATATCAGTTACATAATCGAGAAATAAGAAACACTACTCACCAAGTCCTCGTCGTCGTCCGAAAAAATATTCGATCTCTCTTGTGCCGTCATGTCGCCGTGATCAGTATCCACAATCCAAAACAAACCCTCATGGCTCACACAAAAACAATACACCTAGCTCCATCACTAAAACACCAACTGCATCCAAACTCGCCCTATCAAGATGCACCTCCCAATTCAGTCATTTTTACGAAACGTTCTATTTTTAAAGCAAAAACAAAACGCAAATTGCAAATAAAAAGAATAAGTTCCTCTGAATTCCGAACACGCGAATTCGAATTTAAATCGAAAAACAAATGAGTGTCGGTGAGAAGTTCGAAATTCGAAACGGGTCGGGCGATCCGAGCGAAGTATAAACGCTTACTGCGGCGGAGGGCGGGCATGGAAAGCACTGCAGCGTCACGTAACCATGGATACGCGAAGGTTTTCTATGCGGGGAATAGCGCGCCTGCATGCATCAAGGTAGATAATATCATTTTAATAAATAAAGTGAATTAGTTCCCCTGAATTCCCGCCAGGGCCAGTGCCTTACCTATTAATGAAAAGTATTCTTTTAAATTGATGAACTTTATGTGGCTTTTTAGCTACGGTTTTAAGCTTTTTGCAGTTTTATGATAAATTGTGTTTTCTGAAATAGTTTACATAAAAAGACTGTATATCTAATTCTCGTACTTCTTTAACGTTTCAGGTATGTATATGTATACCTCGCAAGAAATACTAATCTGTATAGTTTCGTATTTCTACCGCTTTCCACACGATTGCTTTCAGGATTTCGTAGAATCATATTAATTTTGATATCTCTCACGTAGAACTGTAATATTCAAGAGCATTCCTTTCATAGGATGTGTTAACGATTTCTATTGCATCCTTACAGTTGTGAATTTAATATTAATGGAATATACAGGTGGCACAGATCGTTAGCGTCCTTTTGACATTTATTTATTCATATACACTTTATTGCACCATTCATAAAAGTAATTAACACAGTTCATTTTAATGAGAAGTAATACAAAAGGCGACTTTATCACTAAACAATCTCTTCCAGACAACCTTTGTGTAGAGGGCATTGTGAAAAAAGACAAAAGTATTATATATATATTAGTATCTACATAATAGTGCGTCACATACCTTTTGTCTTATATATATATATATATATATATATATATATATATATATATATATATATATATATATATATATATATATATATATATATATATATATATAATGGTTTATGTATATAGGTTTTGAAGTTACCTAAGTTTTGACATTTTAACTGACGAACTTATTCTATTTCAAATCACAGTTGTACAAGAGACTCAATAAATTTTAATGGATGTTAATGGAATGGTAATTCCACCTGTACTAGTGGTATACGCTAGGGAAGCACCAGTGAGGGATGGTAGGTGAAGGTGAAAACAGGTCAATTAGTCCATCATGATGAAATCACTAAGAATTCATCAACTACGTGGAAGTTGACTTAATTTCACCATGTATATTGCTAGTAATTGCTATGTGGGCCACTCCGTCCTTTACCAGGGGTGTCATAAGAGACGACTAAGGAAACTTAATGGTCGAAGAAGAAAGAAAAAGAATGAGCAGCAGCGTTCCAAACATCACTAAAATATAACTGCGGTTGCCAACCTACCTGCCAAGCGTGGCAATATGCCCCCCCTACCATCCCCTATTTCTCCTTACGAGTGATATAATTGTAATAATAATTTCTCATCATTGTCATTATCGTCATATATAATTTAGAGTCAACCATGCTTGGCTAAGCCCCGCATGGCTGAACATTTTACCCCCATAAAAAGGGAGAAGTTAAATACAAAATATATTAAATTAATATATATATATATATATATATATATGATAATACAATAATAATATGATGTAATAATAGTATTAATTACCAGTATTGTAGACGGAAAACTATTATTTTAATATCGCATAGTATCTGATAGGTAAATCAATAGGAAAGCTTACGTGGCGTCTATCGGCTTTTACTTCAACTGCGAACATGACTAGTACAGAGAGGTGGTTGTTTAATTAACGCTGCATTAGCATTGAAATGCAATGGATTCATTTAACTGCATAGTGACGTCATAGAACAATTAATAACGGAACTAATAACTTGTTAATAGATATTTTTGCATTTTTTGATAATAATATCATAAAATAGCAAAAATAGCAACATATACACATACTTACTAATATAAATGTGAGGATAAGCTTGTTTGATGGAATCTCTCGATGCCACGACGGTTTAAGCAATCATTATGAAATTTGATAAGGACTATGTGAAAAGAGAAAGGACACAGGCTACTTTTTAATTCAATCAATAAATATATTTTTTCATGCAACTTAAAATAGTAAACAAGCTGACAGTCTACCTGATGGAAAATGGTTACCGTCGCCTATAGACATGAGCAGTACCATGGACATAACAGAGTATACTGTTTCACCCATGATACCCCCCATGCGTTGCCATTCCTGAGGACTCAGGTGTTATTCTTCTGTACCCTGTAAATTCACTGCCATATCCCACCTTTCACATTATATGATATATCTTGGTCACGCGGACGAAGTCACGGGTAAAAGCTAGAAGTATTAGAATCTTTAATAAAAAAAAAATTTTTTTTGACCATTTTGGCTGTGTAGAGCGATAACAACCCTTCACCTTCCGATGCCTACGAGTTCAGTGTCCGTACGAAACAATAATAATCACGAGTACGTCTATTTGTATTAGTCTTGATTTCTAGTATAACATGTATGGCATGTATAACATATATGTATTTACAACAAAAAATAAATAAAAAAAATAATGTTTGTCTATCAGTAAGGACTAGAAGATCCTTTATTACGCTCCAATGTATTCAGATATTTTTTTTTTCTTAAATAAGCTATATTATTTCTATTTGACCTATAATCTAAGCATAGAATGGGCCATGCTTTTCTCTACCGTGGGTGTAAGAGGTGACTAAGGGAACTTGATGGTAGAGGGATGGGCAGCAGCGTCCCTTTTTAATCAAATCAAAGTCTAACTACCCTTGCCAACCCGCCTGTCAAACGTAGCAACTGTTACCAAAACCCCCCAAGGGGGAGGCCCTACGTTCAGCAGTGGACAGTCAGTGGCAGATATAGTATATCATTTATGTACCTTTAATATAAACCCAATCCGTCTTAGCATAATAAATTAAAATTGCGATAGACATGTGTTCAATACCAGCTTAAAAGCCTTACTACAAAAATATGTTTAACGTCTATTTATGGGGAGAAAGGGATTGTTAGTAATGGAGACTGAGAATCCCATTGCTAGCAATATACCCAACCAGGTCGACCTCCTCGCGGTTCTCCCTGGAAACTATCATGGTTCATTCCTGATGACTCATGATGGGCTAACTGGCCTGTTTTCATTCTCATCTATCACCCTTCACTGGTGCTCCGCCAGCGTATCCCGTTAGCGCAAGGGCGGTTACCATACCATTTTCACCCATAAAAAAAAAGTCTATTTATACTTAAACAAAGGAAAATTTCTCTTACAAAAAATAAAAGGTACTTAAAGAAATGTTTTATTACAATAGTTTATATATCTTAGTATATACATTTACACATAAACGTTTTTACACTGACTAAACAATGTTTAATTACTTAGAAAGACATCTGTAAAGTACTGTTGAGATAAATAGTGTTTTAAATTATGTTTGTAGTATGTTTAGCTCCGTATAAAATACTTATTTTATTCGTAACTATATTAACATGGAGCCAAAAAGAAACATGTCGATTACAAAAATTTACCAGAGGGAGATTTTGTACAAAAGTCGATTGCTTGGGTACCTCTGTCCTATTCGTGTTTCAACCGTGAAGCAGTTGTGTTTGCATGGCTGTATTTCGGTTTGAAGGGTGGGATATGGCGTGAATTTACTGGGTACAGAGGAATAACACCTAAGTCCTGTCTTGGGGTGTCATGGGCGAAACAGTATACTCTGTTATGTCCATGGTACTGCTCATGTCTATAGGCGACGGTTACCACTTTCCATCAGGTGGGCCGTCAGCTTGTTTGCTTTCTAAGTTGTATAAAAAAAAAAAAGAATAGTTAAATTACTGACCGAAAAATTCGTCCTACTAAGGGTTCTTTGCACAATTTTCGTACGGAACCCTAAAAATATAGATTGTTATCCAAATACGGCCCTAAAATACAAAATATACAATAGCGGCAAACCAATTATCCTAATTGTCCGAACCATTAGTCTCCCCGAGACAATATACAGTTGACAGTTCTATACAATCGTCCAATAGTCGACCAAATAAATAATGGCCATTATTATACTTCGAAGAGTAACAGAAGGAGTTTTTAAGAACTTTTTCTAGACAATTCATTATTTATGTTAACATTACTCCTACTATTCATCAACACCATCTCAGCTATTATTGGTCTACTGCTGAACGTATGCCTCCCCCATAGACTGCCAAAAGGAACGGTCCTAAGCTACAGCCACAGCCACAGCCCATTCGTGTTTCTACCGTAAAGCAGTTGTGTTTGCATGGCTGTGTTTCTGTTTGAAAAGTGGGATATGGCGTGAATTTACTGGGTACAGAGGAATAACACCTGAGTCCTCAGAAATGGCAACGCATGGGGGGCATCATGGGCGAAACAGTATACTTTGTTATGTCCATGGTACTGCTCATGTCTATAGGCGACGGTTACCACTTTCCATCAGGTGGGCCGTCAGATTGTTTGCCATTCTAAGTTGTAAAAAAAAACCTGCATCCACTGAATCCCTGCCATTACAACTTCTACTATTGCAAGTTACAAATTATAATATTTCTTACATCATCATCATTATCATTCATCAGCCCTTAACTGTCCACTGCTGAACATAAGCCTCCTCTATAACAGGGAAGTTTTACCAATATTTGTTACACTCGTTAGGTGGGTGAGCAACCGCAGTTAGCTTTAGTGATGTTTTAAGACGAACACTGCTGCTCTTCCCTTGATCCTTAGTCGCCTCTTACGACACTCATGGGACAGGAAGGTTTAACCCATTCTATGCCAGAACTATACCACAATTTTTTACAACAACCAAATTACAATCTAAGTAACAGTTGTTTTTCTTAGCCTTACACTGAAATGACAGCTTTAATTAAAAGAGTTTTCTTTCAATTAAACACTGAACTAAATTATTTAAAACAACTCTGTTCGCTGTACCACTGCTGTTATATTTCTTGCTTTTAGTTCTATGAAACAAGTCTAGTGTGAAGTCATAGCTACGAGTATATTGTATCATAAACTAATTTTGTTTAATCCAAAAAAAAATAAGTAAAAAAAAACTATAATTATGAAGTATGTGGACAGGGAGATCTATAGAGCAAGTAATCACTAGGA